AATTTCAGTCTCCTCAGCAATGGTGGTTGGTGCATAAACTTGGATTATTGTGATGTTAAAAGGTCTGCATTGGATTCGTATTGACATCATTCTATCAATTTTGAGATTATATCCCATTACAGCTTTTCCCACTCTTTTGTTGAATACAAGGGCTAGTCCATTCCTTCCACGGGATTCTTGCCCACAATAGTAGTTATGATAATCATCTGAGTTGAATTCACCCATTCCTGTCCATTTTAGTTCACTGATGCCCAGGATGTCAATGTTTATTCTTGCCATCTCCTGTTTGACCACATCCAGCTTACCAAGGTTCATAGATCTTACATTCCAGGTTCCTATGCAGTATTTTTCTTTGCAGCATTGGACTTTCATTTCTAGGCACATCCACAGCTGAGCATCCTTTCGGCTTTGGCCCAACCACTTCATTAGCTCTGGAGCTACTTGTACTTGTCCTCCGCTCTTCCTCAGTAGCATGTTGGACGCCTTTCAACCTGAGGGGCTCATCTTCCAGCGTCATATGTTTTAGCCTTTTGTTTCTGATCATGGGGCGTTCTTGGCAAAGATACTGGAGTGGCATTGCCATTTCCTACTCCAGGTGGATTGCGTTTAGTCGGAACTCTCCACTATGACCTGTCCGTCTTGGGCGGCTCTGCACAGCATAGCCCGTAGCTTCTCTGAGTTACTCAAGCCCCTTCGCCAGAACAAGACAGCAATCCATGAAGGGGCAAGAAATCATACCACACCCCAAAGCTGACCGTATTTAGTCTATTCCTCTCTCTCAATCTCCATTCCCCCACATTTTCCATAGGGAGCAGGTGGATTGGCAGGTAGGTAGGTACCACTGCATTGGCTTGCCATGAAAATAAGACAGCACTGCTTCTTCTTCTGTTACCCCCTCAGTAGGGAGTCAGGGCAAGCTGGATTTTTTTTTCATTTATTGGTAGATGACATATCACTTAATTGACTTTTGGCCTTGTTTCTTTCTTAAAGGCTCCCAATTTTAGCTATGCCCATATTCAATTATCATGCTTTCCATCAATATTTCTCAGGTGTTGTCCATGTAGTGGTTTATTTCCCCAATTGTTTATTTTCAGATGGTTGTTTTGTATATTGAGCTTTTGTTTTTGTTGTTTTCAAAAATTGTCCATTTTCATTGCCTTAATTTTTCTCTACTTGTACTAATATAATCATTTAGGCTTATTTTTCCTCCTCTGCTACATGCTGTATTTGCCTCCAATTTTTTGTGGTAAATATGATTTGTCTACATCACTTTTTGGATATAATGCTTGATTGCTTTGTCATTAGTTTCCATGTTTTTCGTTTCTTCTAATTCATTTTAGGTCCAGTCTATTATTCCAGCTGGATGTCTAATTACTGGAACTGACCGTGTGTTTATGGCTTTGATTGTATTTCCACCATTTAATTTTAAGATTTTCTGCAGTCTTTTGATATATTCCCTTTCTGTCAGTTCTTTAACTTTTGTGTGCAGAATATTATCTGCTTCTAGTATTTCGAGGTACATATTTATAAATTTCATCAGTGGATAGTGATTTTATAATATTGCATTTTAAAAACTCTATTCCATCTAGGTTTTGGATCTTGCCACTGTGTAAAGACAGAGTTGCACATTTGTCAATTCCAAATTTCATATGAATATTTTCACTAAATATTTGCACTGTGTTCAGCAGTGATTTTTAAAAAATCTCTGTAGAACTTTTTGTATATGGTTTTAGATCATCCATGTATAACAGATGATTGACTTTTCCTGTTTGTTTTGAAATATGGCAGTCCAATCTGGTTTGATTTAAAATTATTGACATGGGGATTAGTGAAATGTTGAAACAGCAATGGTGACAAAGAATCCCCTTTAAATATTCCTCTTTTGATGCCAACTTCATCAGTTTCTTCACCATAGGCCAAGAAGACAATTTCCCATTTTTCCATGTTTTTCTATCATCATCATCAAAAATAAAACAAGAATGTCAAAGGGACCTATTATAGTTTTTCCACTCTTACCAGGCCATCAGTTTCTCTGGTATTTTTAACTCTGGACAAACGCTGGCTCCATGGCTTGGAAACGGGGATGAGTCGGACATGACTGGACTAAATGTCAAGGGGAACCTTTACCTTTTTGAAATTTAACTTTGGATGTATTGAATCATCACAGAAAATTACCATGGTACCAAATGATAATTTATAACAATTGAGCACAGTGCTTATGCTGAGAGGCTCTAGAAATGCTGTCGGATTAAGTCAAAACTGTATGAGGTAGGTGAGTTTTTCTTTCCTACATTTGTAGGATGAAGTTGGTTGTTATTTTTTAAAGGCAGGATTGAATCAAAAACAATCGGAGCATTTGTTTGCAAATACTACTAAACTTACAAGACAGTGATGCTTGTAGTTTATATCAATGATGATATGAAATGTGTACATTTCTTGGTATTTAAATAGAGGTAGAATTTAGCATTTTCATAGTCTTAATGAACATATGGACAGCTTGAGCATCTTACACATCTACAACTTGATTCTAGTTTCATCTAGTCTGTCTGTATGGTCAAAAGCAGCCCAGCTGTGAATTCCTAACGTTCAGGTTTACTGGGCTTTTCTGAATGCCTGATCCTTCCAGCAATGAAGTGGCTTAAGTGGTTCAAAACCACCATAGATGCACCGGGACACCATGAATTGGATCTAGACTCGTCAGCCTTAGAACAGATCTACAGAAATCCATTGGATTTGGGGGTCCAGTGCGTTCTGTTGTAAACATGATTTTGGATCCAATCCCTGCTATGCCAGGGTTGTTAACATACCCAGGGCTCCAGCAAGGCAAAAATATGCTGCTGTATTGGTTAAAACCACCATCTCTGGATGTACTGTTGCAATTTCACATAAAACTGTTACAAAATACAGCATAGCCAGAATAAGGATTATGGAACTCTTCTGCCACTGAAGAACTGTGTCTTTCTAATGCAACTGTGAACTCTGTGTGATGGCTAGCAATGTGTAAACAGGGCAAACATTCCACTTGCCTCAACCAAGATACTTTTGTAGCTGCACTCTAGTTGTTGTCATTATTAAGTATATTCTGATACTTTGGGTACAACAAAAACAAAATGGTTATTTTTGCTTAGCCTTTTAAAGAAATACAGTAGGGTCTTGACTTGAGAACTTAATCCGTATTGGAAGGCGGTTCTCAAGTCAAAAAGTCTGTAGGTCAAGTCTCCATTGACCTACAGTGCATTGAAAACCGATTAATCCCGTAACAGGCCGTTTTTGTTCCATTCCATTTTGTTTTTTTTCTGGTCTGTAAGTCAATTCTCAGGCTGCAAGTCAAACCTAAATTTTGCGGCCAGAGAAGTCTGTAACTCAAAAAGTCTGTAAGTCAAGCCGTCTGTAAGTCAAGGGTCCACTGTACCACCTTGTAAATAATTCTGTGGGGCAGGCACCCAATTCATGCTCTGCTTTCTCAGCTCCTTTGTCTAGTGCCAAACTACCTGCCACTAAACAGTTGAAAATGAACAGGTGTCCAATAGCCAGTTGTTTCAATGTGCTAAAGAAACCCAGCCATGTCCATCCTAGGTACTCTACATGGCTGTTTCCCTGGGTAGCTCACAAATAACCATGTGTATCTTGGATGATACTGATGCTGAGGTGACTTCATCCCCTTTCAGCATGTTTTTATTCAGCTCAGGTGAGAGCTGAATTACAAGGCTTGGATGGTATATCCAAGGAAATCTGATATTAAATCCTGGATGTACCGGCTCTTTATCATCCTGAATAAATTTTGTTAAATCTTAATGGGCCAGATGCTGTTTTAAGGTTGTAAAACAGAAATGCTAAAAAAAAGTGTAGGAGTGGAAGTTTATGCAATTACTTTAAAGGGAAATGTCTGCCAAAATGGTTACACTGTTAATTCTTTGAAACGTATGCTTCTTAAGTGACTCCACTGAGGCTATCGCTATGGCCAGTGGTTCTTAACCTTTGTTACTCGGATGCTTTTGAACTGCAACTCCCAGAAACCCCAGTCAGGACAGCTGGTGGTGAAGGCTTCTGGGAGTTGCAGTCCAAAAACACCTGAGTAACCCAAGGTTAAGAACCAGTGGCTATGGCTATTTATGCACCTAATTGTACGTAAAAGGAAGGCAGAAAATTGCCATGGAGAAAGTCTGAGAACGCGGCAGCACTCAAACCTTAACTTGTCCTTTATCAATATCTAGTAATAGTCTGTATTTCCCACAGGTGGTTTTATTTGATGTCAAAGAAACAGAGGTCCTTGTTCTACAAAAACCTACTTCAAAGGTTAGAATACTTTTATTGCACCTGTGGCTGTATTTAAATCTTTTGTCCCTTCTAATAATATTGATATAATACAATTCATGTATTTTTTTATACAGAACAGAAATGTGTATTAAAATGTGAACTTTGCTTAAAAATACTATATGTATCTAAATATTTTATTTTAGACCTATACTTTCAAGTACTGTAATGATATGGTACCTACATAAACACTTAGCAAATGAGCGTAATAATAAGTTCCAAGCCAACAACTGTTATTATGTTGCCAGGTTCTCTTCTCGTTTCCTTATACAGACATTTCCTGTGTGGGAAGGCGTTTGGACAACAGTAAAATCTTTGCTTTCTGCACTGTGTAAGTTTGAATACACACCAGTATCAGCATTTTTTTCTGGCTATGTTACTGGCAGTTTGCTGTTTAATGAACAGGGTACTGACCAATTTTACAGGTTTTGCATATAATTCAGTATTTGTTCTATAATCAATATAAAAATGTAACCTGATTTCTCTACCAGTTTCTAGGAACCTTTTTAAAAACATATCTTTACCATATCTTTCCTTCTAATATGGAATAAAATCCTCACCCTAGGGAACTTTAGATTTTCTGAGAAACTGTGACCTGCGCTGATAATCTGTAACTCAAGTCACCTCACTTGTCAGTCGAGTTCATGTTGCTCAAAAGATGAGCAATGAGGCAGAAAGAACTAAAATTTGAAGTCTGTCAGAAGCATATTGGCTTAAAATTGGCTATGAACTAGTGACATCAATACTTCCTTTATGCAGGACTTCACCAGAGTCTCAAGAAAATAGTACTTTTGAGTGCTGTGTGTTTGAAGCAAACTCTGAAGAAGAAAGTGAGGAAATAATCAACAGGATTGGTAAGAACATTACATTCTTTGGATTAGTTTTCAGCAATAAGTGACGTCCCATTATATCCCGCTTATATCCAATGGTGCCAGTCACCAGAATGGCTACTTTTAATACAATTAAGGCCCTTACTGAAACAAACCTGGTCTGGAAGAGTGACGGACTCCACACAGCGGATTGGGGAGGGGGCACTGAAGTTGTATTGCATGGGAGGAACTGTGCTCAATATGTTGGACATTACCCAAGTATACTTTGTCATGGATATATAGCTAATAATTTTACAAGGTTGCAGCTACTATTATGACAGGTTTTCCAATAATTAATGGTGTATATTAAAATATAGGCCAACTTTATTTTGGGGGGACAAAAATGTAAAACCTAAGTGTGTTAAAACAGCAGCTTCACAGTCCTATTGTATGAGAACACAAGGGTTTCAAAAGTTATTTGTTCAGCATTCACCCCATATATAGGATTTAAAATAATGTCCACAAGCTATCATAATCTAAAAAGTATGTTGAGAATGTTAGTTTTTCCCATTCACACTACTACAGCAGCATGTTACTTCCAAGTTGAAATTTCAGATAAAGTATTTTAAGAGTTGTAACTTGTTTCCTTAGGTGCTGGATTTAAACATACAGAATGGTTTGTCTAGTAAGACATGTGCAGTTCTACTGCTGGGCATCTGCCAATGACCTACTTTTGGGAGTGCCAGTGGCCTGCAAGGCCTAGTTTCAGTCAGTGATGCCTGGCAGACCTCAGCAGCTCTTGGATTAAGAAGTTATCTGGAATGGATCGGAATTGTGCATTGGAAATAATATTTTGGATGCTTCTACCGAAGAGTCATATTTTTACTACTTTTTCCATGTTTGCAGTGACACTTTCAACATTTGGAATAAAACCCAAGCTAAGGCTGTGAATTTGTACAGTTTGTATTAACCAAAATTTCTACATTGCAAATGAGATGTTTGATATAAGTCAAGCAACAAAATAGTACTTACTGCACAGAACAGTTCAATTTCTCAAAGCAAGCGCAACACTGTACTTTTAATTCCCGTTTTAAGTAAAAGCTTGCAAGAAAACACACACTTAAATACAAGCACTTTCATCTCCTCCCAGGACCCACTGCCAGCAACCTGAACAAGGGCCTCCACCAAGGGATTGTCTTACTTCAATTAAATTATAAATAGCCTCAAATTTTAGATAATATATAGTATACGTGTTGTATTTCAAAGATCAAAAGCACAGATGTTAGCACAAGATAAGCTTTAAAAGGACTTGGAATGCAACAAAGTTGCAGTTTTTTTACAAAATGAAAAATAAGAATCAGCAATTGCCCTACAGTTACAGCCAGTGTTTATACCACCCAAGTAGGACAAAAACATTACTGTTGTAAGCTAGAAATATTGCTAAATTCTCACTGTCTCTAAATTACTCTGATGGTAATAAGAAACTTAAACTATCTTAGTTCACATAACTACTGTAATATTCTTGTTACTGGGATTTTATTCAAAGCAGTAAACAGGCTTAAGAATTATATAGCATAAAGCATACTGTTTTCCCCACAACAATAACGAGACTTCTTATGTGAATGTAAAACATTTAATTTAAAAATGTTGACACTACAATATATAAAATAGCTATTATAAATGCACATAGTGTATTCTATAGCTGCCAGGTTTACGTTTTAAGGAAACTGTAAGTTACACTGTGGTTAAGACTTGTAGTTTACCCTTCTGAAAGTCCATTCAATCACAGTGGTGTATGGTCAGACTTAACAGCCCCAATTGTTAAACACTTGGATCAAGTTATTACCAGTTTTATTGCAAAAGGACCCTGTACACATTTATATCAATTCTAGTACCTTACAATTTTAGCTACCCAACAAGTCATTAACATACAGAAACATGCATGAAAAGCAAGAAAGATCACCCATCCCTTCTGCATATTAGCAACTTGTCACTGTTGAGCAACAAGGCTCACATCACTGAGTTTTATGTGAACAGTCACTTTTAGCATTCATCCTGAGTGAAAGATGGAATGACTTAAGTACAAATGTAACATATTATAAACAATTTCATACAAAAAAAGTCACAAATTGAAACCAAAGTATTTTACAGAATTTACTACAAAACACAATAAAAACTGCCTCCACTCAAGCCCTCTCCCCCCGTATCCTACGAGCCAACTGGATGTCTTTGGGCATGATAGTAACTCTCTTGGCATGGATGGCACACAGATTTGTATCTTCAAAGAGCCCCACCAAATATGCTTCACTAGCCTCCTATTATAAAACAAAAACAGACACCGTTAGAAGCCACACATCAACCAAGCAATTCCCTCTTTCCCCAGCACTCAACTGAAGTATCTACATTAAGTCTTGGAACACAACCATACCTGCAGTGCACCGATGGCTGCACTCTGGAACCTCAAATCTGTTTTAAAGTCTTGGGCAATTTCCCTGACCAACCTCTGGAATGGAAGTTTGCGAATCAGAAGTTCTGTTGACTTTTGATAACGACGAATCTCACGCAGTGCCACAGTACCAGGCCTAAAAATTAACAGGAATATAAATGCATTAAAAAGCAACAACAGCGTAACATTATCTAACAATCTAATACTTTCTCAATACAGATTCTTTATCAAAAGCATTAATGAGAACAGGATCTGATGCAGCCTATCACGCCAGCTGATCTATCACAGGGCATTTCCAGGACACCAATCTATGGCTTATAGCAAAACTACTGTATACCCAACGTAAGCCAATTGTGATGCAACAGCGCCCCCATCTTTGTAAGATGCCTATTTTCCACAGATGCACTTCTAGGCCTCAAATAATCCAAACTCCTGCAAACACATTTCCCCCACAAATTACCTGTAGCGATGAGGTTTCTTGACTCCACCGGTAGAGGGAGCACTTTTCCTAGCAGCTTTGGTAGCCAACTGTTTACGTGGAGCTTTGCCACCGGTGGATTTACGGGCAGTCTGCTTGGTACGGGCCATTTCCCCTTATGTTTCTAGAGCCAGAAATAAATGATGCAATACGGAATTACCACCATTAGTCATCACAAGTACGTTGCAGACAAAATTATTTGTCCTGCCACGTCTGCTTATACTAGCTCCCCGGGGATAAGCCTCGGAGGCCCATCAGCCGCCCCAGATGTTCACAGGCTGACGTGGGCAATGAGCCAAGGCAGGCCGTTTCTTCCCCCTCCCCCCCACGGAAAAGCCTCGAGCTATTGCCCGCCCACTTTCAACAGTACACAGAAATATATCATTCCCCCCCACCTCCTATATCGTATCTCTCCCCAATAATTAAGCGACCACTAACACGGCCGTTATTTCCTCTCTAAACCAAAGGAACGACAACGAAGCAAAATCAATGCTTCTCCCATCCATTAAGAAGCGCTCCCCAAGAAGTCAAGCACCTTCTTTACCCCATTCCGTAAAATTGTCATTCCACCCAGAGCCGAAACTCACTTTTCAGGACAGATACCTTAAATACACTTCCGCACTAAACAGCCTCTCTCTGCAACCTCCACCTTCTCCAAGGCGCCTGTAACTGTCCCCTCCCCGACGCGGGGACACGGAATATATAGCGGGAGGTGGCCAAGAACGTTATGACCTCACAATATAGAGACGCAGCGCGCAGAGCTATTGGCGTCCGCGTCCGCCGGCGCCGTGACGCCAATTGACACAAAGGCCGTTTTCCCGGATTTCGCACTTGATTGGATGAAAGCTCGACAGCCGATTGGCGGTTAAAGCAGCACCCTGATTGGCTATCACGAGTTGGACCAAACCAATTGGAATTGTAGCAAAGCTCCGGGCTCTGATTGGATGACAGAAAACATAGTTTGGATCCTTGTTTTTGTTGCAAAGCTCCACAATAGAAAGTCAATGGGAAAGAAAAGCAGTCCGTTTTGAGTGTCCCAGCCTGGATGGGGAGGGCAATGTGGGAAAATAGCGCGTTACAAATGGGGAGATGGAGGATCCAGCAGTGATAACATAATTTAGGAAAAGTCATAGTCGCATGTGATAAAATAAATGGTCAGCTGCTTCTGCAGCTACCCAAGTATTCTATCTAATGTGTATTTACTGTTCCTCTTCATTTACAAGCTAACAATAATTTATTAAATAATATTTCACCAACCATAACTTACAATGTCATTTTACAATATCTTAACAGCTGGAATTAGAATACTGCAGGCTTATTAAACTCTTCATCACAATAGATTAGAGAAAATATAAACATTTAGTGGGAAAAATTAATTGTTTTTTTCAAAAAACCTAATCCACTATCTAACACTATTCTGTGGTCTAGGTGAACTGCATCTTCAGATAATTTCATATAGCAGCAAGAAAGAGCTTGGTATACATTTGCAAAGAATATTTAAAAAATAAGAAAAGCACCTATTCTGTAGATATGTTAATTGATTTCAACTTGAATGTAGAGATTCACTGCAGCTTCTATGAATAAGGGACTTATGCTACAGCTTAGTGTAAAACATACAAAACTATAGGACATCATAGACAGCACTATTAATGTGCTTCATATACTTTGTAATACACAAAGTGAATCCCAAATTAAAGGAAGAAAATACAGTATATCCATTCCAATAAAACTCTTACTTTATTTAGTAAGTTTGATATATTAATTCTCATGTTGATGGTGGTTTGCTACACAAGCAAAGAAAGCAGGCTATGAAGGCAGACATTAAACTGTTTAGATCTCATGAAACCAATCAGAGTTTTTATTTGTTTGGCTATCTTTTAAACTGAGGACAGATTTCTGTCAAACAAGAATCAATTTCCACACATCTCATCTTATATGTTTTAATTATAGTCTTTCTACAATCAAGCTGAAATTTACACTAAAATGATAGACCATATACTGTACATCTACTGAGCCCTATTACCATTGGATCACAGGACTTGAATTACACTGCCCTTATTAACATCCTATGTATGGTATAGAATAATGTCATATTAATTTATATTTGTAAAAACCTTTAAAAGGATATGAAGAAATGTCATTAACAGTAAGCAACATATTTTATTGTAATATATCATCATGCAGAAGACAAATACATTCTATTAAAGTTGAAGTCCTATGCCCTTTTAAGTTTCCATTAGAAAAACACAGTACACTGACCCCAATTCTACTTATGAATTAAATATTACAACCCTAAGATTTTAGTTTTACAGGACAGATTTGTTTGGTTTTTGTTTTGTTTTTTGGTAAAGTTGTTCACAGAATTAGTTTCCACTGAGAGAAAATGAAGGCCTATAAGCTTTGGTGTATGCGTTATGACTAATGTAAATGTTGTATCTTTGTTTTGGTTATTTCTGTATTGTATGTTTGATTTTTGTTACACATTGTTTTCAAGTCTTCTGATCCAAATGGTTTATAAATATTTCTTAGTCAAATAAATATGAGCTCCTTGTAGTATCTATACATTGTGATTGAATGAAATATATATACTAAACAACAAATGGTTAAACCAGTGCAGAGTGAAGACTTGCATTTACAAGATTAATAGAAATGACCTTTCATTTTCTTTAGTAATAAAGTTGGTAAGAAGTTCATTATTTTCGTAAAGCAATAAGTCACTAAGCACATTTTGTTGCAGAGAGCTGAGGACTGGGGTCAATGATTCCAGCACAAAGACAAGGGGAACCTAGTCTTTGTCCCATGCATCCTTCATCACTGGTGCTTTAAAGTACTGTAGCTATTGCAAAGAATGAGAGAATTACAGTGGGATGAGGAGATGCAATCAGTTCCTTTCATCCTACCAGCCAACAGACCCTCACTACTAACATCACCCAGCAAAGCTTTGCCCTATTTCATGCAGGACCATGTGGGCTGAAAGCCTCTAAGTGTACCACAAATACAGTACAGCACAGCTGTACCTTGGACTATAATCAGTTACAAAGAGGCAAAAATAGGATATGTGATTCCTAATACTGCATTCACTCCTAGCCTCCAGCAGTTAAAGGTCAGGCTAGGATAACAAAATTTATCAGCAACATTGTAACAGAAATACTACAGAGATACTAAGAGAAAGGTTTGGAGCAGACTTTCTTTAGGGCTTCTAAAGAAGCTTTGGTCAGCTCCATCCTAATAATGTTTACTTGGAAAAAGGTCAAATTGACAAGTCAGTTCATTTCTAAATAAACTTGGAAGAAGGCAAATAGTAAAATATTACATCTTATATACCCTTTAAACTTCACTGAATTAATACAGTATGACTTACAGTGTGCATACAAATGGACTATATAAAATTAGTCCAATATGGATTAACACTGGCTGGCTCAGTGCTTTAGGTATCTGGCTGTGGAGCCATACATTGGGAGTTTTGATTCCCCACTGTGCCTCCTGGGAGAAGAGTCAGCCTGTGTAGTCATGGCCAAATTGCATGGTCCCAAGGCACTCCCAGAAGAAGGGAATGGTAAACCATTTCTGAGTATTGTACACCTAAAAAACCCTCGGTTGCCATAAGCGGGAACCAACTTGACAGCATGCAAATATTATTTAATACGGATGAACAGGGAATGACACAAAATATCCATGCCATTGCTTAACCATATTTTAAGATACACATGCTACTGCATAGTTGTAGCAATCATGAACAATTAGTGAAGTATACTGAATAGAATGATGGACAAGGACTCTAGAAAACAGGATCTGAATCTTCACTTGGGCCATGGAAACTCAAAGGGAGGGGGCTGGAACTGATAAAACCACTCCTTAAATATCTCACTTAGTACTGCAAATATTTCTAGAGAGGTGGCTAAGTTAGATAGATGGAGCACAAGCAGTGAACAGTTTAATGAGAATTAAGGACTAAAATATGTCATCAAGTAAAGCTTTTATGTTTTAGAGTGCTTCATCAGATGCAACAGACAATAGCTGATCAAAATACAAAAGCAAACATCAAAATATTATACAGAAAGAATTCAGTCTAACGAACTCTTTTCAGCTCCCCAGCTTCATTTTCTATAGAAATTAGAAAATATATATATTCTGTTATATTTTCCATCTCGTTATATACATGTTTTCTACTTAATCTTCAAAAGGCGGTAACACGAATCCTTAAACCTGAAATCCTATATGCACTCGCTAGGAAGTAAGCTTCCTCTAATGACACTTACTGCCAGATAAACCTCATTACTGTCGAGTTGTTAACAGTTTACGCGCGACTATGTTTGTTCAAATGGCTTGAAGCGTATATGGTACCCGATACACCCGCTCGATCGCAGCCCAATCGAGGAATTCCTCAGGACTACAATTCCTATAAAGCCTGACGCTCTTGCACCATTCCGTGCAGCGACAGCAGGTCACCTCCGGGAGTTGTAGTTTTAAGGGCCGGAAGCCCAGCAAAAGAAAAGGGGGACTTTCCGCCATCACCGGGACTACACCCCCCAGCATGCTTTGGGTAACCCGGGGCGGTAATGGCGGCGGCTGCGCCTGCGCATTGCGGTCTCCGTGCGGACCGCGCAGAGTGAATAATAAAGCTCTCCTCCTCGGTGGTAGCGGGCGGTGGAGGAGGGAGCGGAAGGCAGGAACATGTCGAAGGGCCCGGTAACGACCGGGCCTCCTGCGACCGGGCCGGTCCGACTGCAAAAAGGGACAAGGACAAACATTTGCTTTCGGTTTTTTTGTTGTTGCAAGCAGGAAGTGCTTGTCTTTCAAGGAACCAGAGACAGAGGAAGGGTTTTTTTGCCTGTACTTGAAGGAGATCTTTAATGGGTGGAGGCACAACCTCCCTGAATGGACTGCCTGAAATACTGAAAGCCCGGAACCGGCTGGAACCGGTCGCGGCCGGCCTGGGCCGGTGGAATGCCGCCCGAGTGGGAGGGGGCGGGGCAGGCGCTGACATCCCCTGGCGCTTTTTCTCGTGCGGGCGCGCGCTCCGCCACCCTGCGTGCAGTTACACACACACACCCCCCCAGAGGAGGCTGAGGCGCGCCCTGACCAGGATGCGTCGCGCCTTGCGCACCTCAGGGTTCCTCTGGCCCAGAGATGGCCTTCGGGTAGGGTAGGGTAGGGGGGCTACGGGCTCCCTCTTCTCTCCCTCGCCTTTCTCTCCCTCCCAGGTCTTCTCCTGGTTCGTCTCTCTCTCTCTCCCTTTCCCCGCCAGCCGTTATCCTTCCGCCTGTTATGCTAATGCCTTGTCCCATATCCGCAAGCAAGATGGTTTGGGATGCCTCTTGTTGAAAGAATCAAGTGATCTATGTACGCACTATATATGTAGTTGTTTTTTTTAAAACCCATTCTGCTCAGTTATTTGTGGACGGTTAATGGTTCTGGGCTTGTCATGAAAACACAAAAGAGTTTCCGTTATTTATCGAAAAGTCTTTCCTGCAACAAGAGATTTTTTTTAAAAAAAGTCCTGTGCAAAGAGATTGTGCCTTCCCTTGCTGAGACCTATGGATAGATGTGTGTATTTCACTTTAGAGGACTGATTAAAATGTTAATAGTAATCTCTAGTGTCTTTTCTGTTGAGTGCTGGGAAGAGGTGATGTTACAAAATAAAAGATGTTGAGTCTCACAAGACTATCAGGTGGCATACATTCAAAATACGTGTATGGTGCTTTTAAAAGTTTAAAAATATTAATATAATCTACCAGTTTACTATAATACTAAATGTTTATTTTGATAAGAAATATCAAAATGAAGGGGTAGTTTCAGTTCTGAAATAACTAGCCAGTACATTCTTGTGTTTTTGTGAAGAAAGTATTGTCATAGCTTGCTTGAGAAATCCAGCTAAATTTTCTTATGGCTTAATTCTAGGGGCATGTGGCCCAGCAAAAAAAAAATGTGTCTGTAAATACCTTAACAGTATACTATCACCTGTACTATTGAAATGCTTATGCAAAGTAGTTCGTCATGTTACAACTGCCAAAGTACAATATTGTAGGGGAGCATCATATAACCATCTTTTGTATCCTGTGGCATCATGCAGTGCAGAGTATTGACCACAGATGATTTAGGACTGGGAAGCAGTTTGCCTTTACATAACAGAGACCTGTTGGTTACTGGTCTTGTGAAGGTTCTCAAGCACAGGGGAGGCAGGATACATATTTTAAAATATGTGACATATCCTGTGGCTAGGACCGTTGCGACAAGATGTTACACCTCTTACTTAATTTTGTGATAAGACTATGGCCAAGCAGACTTCTCTTGACTTCCAAAACAGAAGGTGGAGGCTGCTGTAGCTGGTTCTGGTATACTACCTCATTACGGTTTTGCATAGCTTAATTTGAGGCAAAGTGTATCCAAATTATTCTGGGTCACAAATAATGAGATAAATGCTATTGGCTATCCATAACGTGTGTTGTTGTTTTTGGACAGTGTGTTTTGGCTAGTAATTCCAACTAGTTCAATGACAGTTGAATTTGTTTGTTTGTTTGTTTGTTTAGCCATGCATGCATGCATACCTCAAGGATAACTTGTGATTATTTTTAAGATACCTGTTCACAACTGTGAGATAAAGCAGTTTCTTTTAAAAAAATAGTTCAGATTTTACAAAGTTCCTGGTGGACAGGGAAAAAAATGATGTGTTTAGGTCTGTCTGTATAGGATGAAATCTGAGTTTATCAATCCAGTAATATGATGACATCTGCTACCAGAGTGAAGTCTCCCCCCTGTTTTCCCCAAAATATATTTTATAATATTGAGAGATCCTCAGAAGTTATTTAGGGTGTACATGGAGAGACGGAAGGAGATGGGAAATATTTGTTGTGTGAATGAATTGCCTGAATTAGGATGTAACGCATTATTTATCTTATGGGTGTATATTGCTTTGGATCTTATTTCAAGTAAGTGTACACAAAATTGTAGTTTAATTAAAGCTAATATATTTATGTACAGAGAATTGCAGTGACTGACATTTATTAGCTTTATCTTTTTGCAAAGTGGGAGCATGTGTCTCCTATTGTCAGTAATCTCTCTCAGGAAATGTTGGAGTGTTGAAGTCAGTCCTTTATGCTTTGCTCTGTCAATGTTGCTGATATGTATTGTATGTGTATAAGTCTTTCTCTATGTGTAAAAATGTAAGTTATTTCTTGCCCGACTGTTTCTTGAATGTACATAATATTTTAAGTAATCATTGAGTACATATCACTGATGTGTTACTACATCATTTACTCTGGGAAAAAAAATCAAAAATATATAGCATACCCTGTTTCCCTGAAAATAAGCCCTAACCTGAAAATAAGCCCTAGTATAATTTTTCAGGATGCTCGTAATATAAGCCCTATTCCAAAAATAAGCTCTAGTTAACTGAAAGCCTGCCCTCCATTGTGCAACAACTAGAAGATGATGACATGACTGTTGGTTTTTGTGGGTTTTTCGGGCTCTTTGGCCGTGTTCTGAAGGTTGTGCTTCCTAACGTTTTGCCATTCTCTGTCGCTGACATTTTCAGAGGACTGGAGTAGCACTCTGTGCTCACCAGAGCACAGAGTGCTACTCCTGTCCTCTGAAGATGCCGGCCACAGAGACTGGTGAAACTTTAGGAAGAACAACCTTCAGAACACGGCCAAAGAGCCCGAAAAACCCACAACTATTAGATCCCAACTGTGAAAGCCTTCGCAAATGCAATGACATGACTGTATTTGAATAAACGTAGATTGTACATGAAAAAAATAAAGCTTTCCCTGAATATAATCTCACATGACCGATTTGCAGCCTTTTTAAAATCAAAAGTGGAGACCATCCGCCGGGATCTTGCCCCCTATTTGAAAACAGTGGATCAAGCTGAGACGTCTTGCCTGATGAGGCTTAACTACTTTCAGCCTATGACGTCAGACATGGTGGAAGCTTTCCCTGAATATAATCTCACATGACCGATTTGCAGCCTTTTTAAAATCAAAAGTGGAGACCATCCGCCGGGATCTTGCCCCCTATTTGAAAACAGTGGATCAAGCTGAGACGTCTTGCCTGATGAGGCTTAACTACTTTCAGCCTATGACGTCAGACATGGTGGAAAGAGTACTTGACTGCTGTCGTGCCACCACCTCCTCCTTGACCCTTGCCCGGCCTGGCTAATGAAAGCAACCAGGCCTATAACATCTGAATGGGCTACGGCAATAATTAATGGATCTCTCCAGGAGGAGACATTAATTAGGCCCATTAGGAAGAAACCAAGCTTGGCGGCGGACGATATTGGAAATTATAGGCCCATCGCCAATGTTTCTTTCCTTAGCAAGGTAGTTGAGATGGTAGTGGTCGATCAGCTGCAGGCTATGCTGGATGAAACCAATGCCCTGGATCCATTCCAGTCGGGCTTCAGGCCGCACCATGGCTCGGAAACAGCATTGATCACCCTATTTGATGACCTGCTGAGGAAGGCCGACAGGGGCCAAATGTCTCTGCTGGTCCTCCTCGATATCTCAGCCACCTTTGATACCGTCAACCACGGTATTCTCCTGGGAAGGCTCTCTGAGTTGGGAATCAGTGGCCAGGCTCTTGCCTGGCTCCGTTCCTTCTTGGAGGACCGTCCCCAGAGAGTACAGATTGGAGAGAGTTTCTCGGCCCCGTGGTGCCTCAATTGTGGGGTTCTGCAGGGCTTGATGATCTCTCCAATGCTGTTTAACATCTACATGAGGCCACTGGGAGGGGTCATCAGGGGATGCGGGGCTTTGTGTCATCAGTACACTGATGATACTCAGCTCTACATCTCCTTTTTTCCAACAACAGTGGATGCTGTCTCGTCCCTTGAGCTCTGCCTTGGGGCTGTTCAGCAATGGATGCAGGTGAATGGACTAAGGCTGAATCCAGGCAAGATGGAGGTCCTTCAAGTGGGTACCCCAGACATCAATGGTCTGGGAAACTCCCTTTCCTTTGGGGGGGGGGTGACTTGCCACCAACCTTTCCTTTGGGGGGGGTGACTCTTACCACCAAGAATGAGGTTCGCAGTTTGGGTGTCCATGGAGCCCCAGGTGTCATCAGTAGTCCGTTCCGCACATTTTCACCTTTGGCGTATTGCCCAGCTGCGTCCCTATCTTGATGTGGGGGCGCTCACCACTTTGGTCCATGCGCTTGTAGTTTCAAGATTAGACTACTGTAATGCACTCTACGTGGGGCTGTCTTTGAGACTGACGTGGAAACTTCTGATGGTACAAAATGCAGCGGCCAGACTTCTTACAGGGGTGAAAAGGTACCAACATATTTCCCCCATGCTGGTTGCCTCGCATTGGTTGCCCATTCGTTTCCACGTTGATTTCAAAGTTATTACGATTACATAAAAAGCCCTAAATGGTTTAGGACCTCAATATTTGGCAGAGCGCCTTCTCCCACCCAGTTATGCCAGAGTCACTCGTTCTAGCCAGGCCACGCAGCTGAGGGGCCTAATGCCAAGAGAGGTCGGGAAGGAAAGAACGAGGAACCAGGCCTTCTCGTCAGTGGCCCCTCGCCTCTGGAACAACTTGCCCGTGGAGATCCACCTGGCTCCCTCTCTGGGTGTCTTCAGAAGCAAACTCAAGACCTGGCTATTTGGACAAGCTTTCCCTCCTGCTGTATCTTAAATTCACATCTTACCATCTTGGATTTATAGTGCATGTTTATTGGTTTTAACTGTTTTTAAATTTGTAATGTCACCCAGAGTAGTCCTTTGGTCTAGATGGGTGGGGTAGAAATATATAAATAAAATAAAAAAAATTACCCCTAATGCGTTTTTTGGAGCAAAAATTAATATAAGACCCTGTCTTATTTTCGGGGAAACACGGTATATCTCAACCAACTGCTGTTTTTTGCTCTGTTTCCTTGTATTAGTAAAATTGAGAATCTTGTGAATTGAAGCTGTTAATGGGGTTCCGGTCCTTATTAATGGCATTTAAAAATACTGTGTGCCATTCTGAGGTCTTGTAATGTCTTAGTAATGAAACTAACAGCACAGTGTAACTATTTTGATCTAGACCAAGCTTGTCCAACCCGCGGCCCGAGGGCCGCATGCGGCCCAGGTCAACTCATAATGCGACCCAGTGCAATTTTTTATTTTTAAAGAAATTCCTAAGTTTCAAGTTACACTGCC